CGTGGGCTGCTCCGAGCCGCCCGGCTGCCCCTGCGCTCAGCCGTGGGGCTGCTGGTGCAGCGGCCACCGGCAGCCGCCCGGCACGCGGCTCATGGTGCGTCCTGGGGGCACGGAGAGGCCGCTGGTGGATGAAGGTGGGGTGCCCAGTGCAGGGCTGGGGTGCCCAATGTGAGGGCAAGGTGCCCCGCATGGGGCTGGGGTGCCCAACATGGGGCTGGGGTGCCCAACGTGGGGCTGGGGTGCCCAACGTGAGGGCAAGGTGCCCCGCATGGGGCTGGGGTGCCCAACATGGGGCTGGGGTGCCCACCGTGAGGGCAAGGTGCCCCGCATGGGGCTGGGGTGCCCAAGGTGGGCGCTGCCGTGGCGGGACAGCCGCGACGGCCCCATAGCCAGGGAAGGACCCTGCCCCACATGCCAGCGGTGCCGCCCCTTGTACCCCCTTGGCCCCAGCGCCCCCATAGCCTGCAGAGCCCCCCCATCCCCTCTTGCAGTCTAAAAGCCCCCCCAGGCGCCCTGCAGACCCTCTCGTCCCCGCTGGGTGCCCCCCAGCCCCACTGCACTCACTCCGACCCCCCTCACAGCCCCATTCACCCCCGGCCACCCCCTGACCCCCCCATGTCCCTGCCGCACGGCCCAGCTGCCCCCATCAACTACAGCCCTCGAGCACCCCCAGGGCCCTATAGCCCCGGAGCCTCCCCTTACAGCCCCCTATATATAGCCTGGGAAACACCACCTACACACACAGCCGCCCTATAGCCCTGGACACCCCCCTGCAGCTCCCCTATAGCTTCCTACATCTCCAGAGACCCCCTTATAGCCTCCTATATATCTGGTGCCCCACCCCACACATTCACTATAGCCCTGTATAGCCCCAGAGCCCCTCTCTTAACCCCCTATAGTCCCAGAGACTCCATTATAAACCCCTATAACTCTGGAGCCCCCCCTGCAGCTTCCCTATAGAACCGGTGCGTCCTATAGCCGTGGAAATGCCCCCGCCCCGGCAGCCCTACTATAGCTCTGGAGCCCCCCTACAGCTCCCTTATAGCTCCATATAGCCCTGGAGCCCCCTCTTACAGCTCCCTGCATCTCTGGAGCCCCTCGCAGCTCCCCTATAGCCTGAGGACCCCCCCTTATTGCTCCCTATAGCTCTGGAGCCCCCCTGCAGTTCCGTTATAGTCCCCTACAGCCCCAAAGCCCCCCCCTTACACCCCTCTATAGCTCCGCACCCCCCAACAGCTCTATAGCCCCAGAGCCTCATATCTCCTCATATCTCACAGCTCCGCCCCCCCCACAGCTCCCCTATGGCCCCAGAGCCCCCCCTTATAGCTCCCTAGAGCTCTGCAGCCCCCTCGCAGCCCCCCTATAGCCCCGGGACCTCCTATTAGAGCCCCCTATAGCCCCGGGCCCCCCCCGCACCG